ATTCTTCTGGCGGCAAATCAACTGCAGTTGAGCGAAAAGCTTGCTTTATCTCTAAGCAAAGCCTCACTGCAATCATCGAAAAGGTAATTCACCTTTCTAGAATATCCTCACCACACCAAGCAAAAGATGGTGGACAATTAAGTGCAATTGGTACTTCAGGAAAAAGAATTGAGTCTGCTCAAATGAACAAAAACATTTATGCATTAGATAACTAGGAAAACAGTTGTTAGCAGATACAGGGATAGAGAAGCAGAATTAGATTTGACATAAAAATGATAGAAATGGAATTATTGCTTATTTTCTTTCTGTGATAAAACATTCCTCACCATGTAATAAACAAAAATTAATGAAAGATAAACTCTCAAGCTTTTGCAGCAGAAGTTAAACAATCTAGAGCGTCTCTAAATATCCATCCAATCTTATATCTTTAGAGATAAATATACACACATTAATATCTTCATGATACCAAGATTAATATCCAGATTAGACACATTTTATTTCTTGATTTGACTGTCATGGCAATCAGATAAAATAGTGTGAAACATCATAGAAATAAAGGAAAACAACAAATCTTATGATCTAAGAGCAATGGTGATGTGAGAAAAGGAATGTAAATGCTGGCAAGGTTGAGGTTAGAACAAAAAAGATCATGGAGTTTAAACCAAAAACAGCATAGCAAAATTGGTGATAACGTCAATAGAATTCAACACTGTGCCTGTTAAATGATTTGTCACATAAAATTCATCTCATAACTACTTCCAAAAATTCAAAACTTAATATCTCGTTTCTTTAATGTATATAATGACAGTAAAACTTAATAAGCCTAATATTAGTCTCAAAACAGGGGAGCCTATTACAAATTCACAACAGACAATTTCAAGTCTGTCCTCATGATATTATAAAGTGCGAAATTACATATACCAAAAAGATCTCCAATAGCTGAAGAAAATTAAAAAAAAAAAAAAAAAAATACTAAATTAATACAATAATAGCATCTATGACTTAAGCTTCAGCAAGGGCAACACACTAATTAAGTAAGTCAACCATGAGTTATTGTTTTCTTCATTTTGTTTCCGCATATTCTGCAACTCTAGATGGAGTTTAACAACCTAGGCCGTAGAAAATATCCTGTTTTCTCATTCCTTCCTTTAGAAAAGAATGGGAAGATAAAAGGAAACCAATAATACAAACTCTAACACCTTAAGTAAGTTCACTATCTTACACTCAGGTACAAAATAAAATTAGCAGAATCCGACAATTTAGCTTAATTGAGATAGGATTCCTAACAAAACAACAAAATTCAATTAATTTAGAGACACAAAAATAAGGCTATCAAATTGCATAAAAGCAGTAAATTGTAATACTAACCTACTGATACTCGATATCAGTATCAGCCACCTGGTTCTTTCGAAGCTTCCTTTCCAAATGGGCAGCTATCCATATGGTTCCTAAGGCCCTTTCTTGGCCAAATAAACTGTGAGTAAAACATTTCTCACCCCACACTCAAAAAAAACCCTAGCTTTCAACACCAAATAATAACCTTTATTATAAATTATAAACCCAAAACGCAAGCTTCCAGCTAAAAACACTGTATTACTTCAGCCAGCTTAAGAAAACCCCCAAATTACCTTAAGCTTCAATTTTCTGAAAAACCAAGAAAACACTAGACATTCACCACATAAACTAACTCCCAAAAAAACCCTAAATTTCAACTCTAGCAAAACGCGAAATTCAAATTAAACCCAAAAAACTCACCCAAATTAACAACCAACCCGGAACCCTATCTTCAATACAACACAATTCCTACTATATCTCCAAAAACCCTAATTACAAAACCCAAATTCGACAAACACCCCATACGAGCTAAAAAAACGAAACCCTAATACTCATCTCATACACCACCACCTCTTCGATTTCTCAGCAATTAACCTAACCGTCCATTTCCAACGAAATTCACCGAAACTTGCACCCGCAGCAGATCGAATCGTGTTGAACTGAAATGAGCAGAGCTTTGACGAAAACCCTAGATTAGGCCCTCAAACGACGTCTTGTAAAGCTTATACCTTTGAGCTGAGTGAGAGATCGGAGGGACGGAGGGGAGTTGAATTGATTTGAATTTTCAGAGAATAACTAAATAGAGAGGAAGAGAAAGAGAAGCGCCTAAGTTTTTGTTTTTGTTTTTGTTTTCAGATTTTGAATTTTTTTTTGTTTTGTTTTTGTTTTTGTTTCATGTTCGTGTGTAGTTAAGGTGTGTGATTGCCTTAGTTGTCACTGTTTATACTTTCATTGGTTTGAATTTTGGGTCCCATTTTTCTTAAAATTTCAAATTTGTCAACTATTTGGCTAAATTTGATCAATTTGGCATTTTTTTTCATCATGATGTATTGTATGGTAATATTAATTTGTTTTAATTTTATTTTTTCTAAACTAAAAATTATCTTTTTTATTTTTTTATTTAAAATAAATTAATGACGTGAGTGCGAGATCGTGAAATTCAAGTCATTTTCTTCATATTTTTCCTAAGATTAAGAGGCCGGTTGCATTCCTTTATGAATTCATTTTGTGTTTTATGAAAATACTTCTTAATTTTTCAAAAGGAGTAAGGGATTGTAAAAATCAAGTTATTTCAGAGGTTCGAAGAAAACTGAATACATAAATCATAATTCGTTTATGATTTATCTATATTTTTATGAGAATAATGTAAATAGCAAAAAAAGATCGATTTAAATTATATATTTTGAGGCTTGAATACTCATTTGATATATATGTTGAAATACAAAAATGAAAAAATATATTTTTTTGTTTTCGATAATTTATTTAAAAAAACACAATAATGAATGAAAATGAAGAAATCTACTACAAAAGCATTTTGGTTTAAAATTGGTAATAAACATATTTAACACGTTTTCTACCTTTTTTTTTTTTATTTCTCTCGTGCAAGTAGCCAAATTTGTTCTTGTTATTTTATGAGAGACTTCCTATTTTGTAATGTTAAGAATCATAATATTTAGATTGTATATTTGTGAAAATCAAAGATATAACCATCTGTGGGTAGTCCAAACGATTAGGACAAATAGGAGATAGTGTAGATGACGCGCGATCTCAAATTAATTTCCATTTGAGCATTTATGATTGAGTGGGAGGTTATAAAAGTGGGTTGCTACGTTAGTTTTCTTGAAAATTAGTCAAAATGCATATAAGTAAAAAAAACAAATAAGAGTTATGTTAAATGATTGATAAAAAAAAAAAAAAAAAAAAAAAGAAGTAAGCAAGAATCTCACTTTAACTTGAATAAATATTTTAACAAAATTCAACAAATTAAACAATATAATTTACTAATTTATATAACTCTAAGTCATAAGTTAAAAATTTAAATTGAAATCTTAATAACACAAAGTATAAAATTCCAAGGCTCATAATATGCAAACCTATTGAAATGTTCTTTATTTAAATGAAAAAAAATTAAAAGAAAATTATTGTACCTTGAATTATTCTTTCGTTGGATGTAAAATTAAGGGTAAACTAAAATACAAATCAAAATTTTATTTGTATTTTAATATTTCTAATATTTAAAAATGGTGTTGATATAATAGTCAAAAACTATTTTTATATTAAAAATATGGAAATCATGAAAATGGTTTTTGATTTTTCTAGTTTTACATTAATTCGTAGATTGTATTCAAACCGTTTTAAAAATAGTTCTACTCATTTTACCAACACTATTCATAATTTTTTTTTTTTTGAGAAATCTACTTAATAACCTTTTTGAAGGATCAAAATAAAAAATAATAAACTTTTAATTACATTGGTAAATAAATCATTTTTGAAGATTTTGAACAATAACACCTTTACAGCGTTCATGTGCATAAAGAAACTTATAATAAAATGGAGAGGCTAGAAACCGGAGAAGGAAAAGAAGAAAGAGGTTATGAAAAGGGCAGTTTGTCTAAAAATCTGATGAGAGATCTACCTAATTTCTACTAATTTAGTTACACGTGGATTAGTTTAATTTTAGACAAGAGAAGTTAGTACTTATGTCTAAAAACCTGATAAGAGATATTACCTACTAATTGTAGTTACAAGGGGATTAGCTTTCATTTTGATCCTTAAAAAAGATCCGTTAGTCATCACCCATCATTATGATTATTTGATGGGGTGTACAAATGACTCCATTTTCGTCAATTTATTGAAAAAGTTTTTGAGGTCTTCCAATATCACTAGATTTTTTTTTGTTTTTTTGGTATCTAATGACATCCAGACCAATTTACGTATATTTCAACTAGTTCTTCGAGACCTTAAGGTAACAATATTAATAGTCTTTAATGACTACTCTTATTTATAGTCGTAATTTGCACGTTAGATCGTTGCGAGCCTTAACAGAGTCCTTTGGCTTTGCCCCGCTCATGATAGTTCACCACCTTTTGGTCCCAACAGACATGCTCACACTTGAATCTTCAGAAGATCAAGGTTGATCGACAAGCAACCTGTGAGGGACAGCCAATCAGCTTCTTATGGGTTTATTGACCCGTTGACTTGTACCCATGTTAGATTCCTTGGTCTGTGTTTCAAGATGGGTTGAATGGGGAGCTCATGGTGTCGTAGCATGCCTTAGGGTGTGTGCTGCTAGCCCCGATTGTGACAACGACGTCTCTGCAAGGTATCATCGGCCGTGTTTCAAATTTAGGACCTCTTGAGTAATACATCCAAGAGTCTCAAACAAACCGTCAAACTACTAGAGGTAGTTACCATATCACTAGATTGATTGCTTGGTTCATATATCTTGTAAAAAGAAAAAAAATTTTGGAAAACTTTTTTTTTTTTTTGAATCTAAAGTGGGAAGAAAGTATTTGAGTTTTCTATAAATAAAAAAATGTATCATTATTGTATCGAATTGGGGTTTGCGGTGGTGAAGGAACTAGTTCATAGAAAAAAAAATTTAATTAATTTATACATATTGATCTTCATATATATATTATCATATATATATATATATATTTCTTACTATCCTAGATCACAGATTTTCAACGTCATCACACACAAGTGTCAGAAATTTAGATGGTATTTCCAGTCCCAGCAGAAAATGAAGCTTACAATGCACATAAGAGAATAAAAACCTTTGAAAGATGTAAAAAGCCACACAATGATTTGGTTTCAGAAATTGATAAATTATACAGTGGTCGCCTATCCCTATCTCAAAATTCACTCAATAAGGTAAATGAAAATTTTCATAAAGCATGCACTTCATTCAGCCAACAAACTTAATGGATTTCTGTTTAAAGCTTCTCATGAGGAAAAATAATTCTAGGAGACATCAGAATTCCAAAACAATAATTAAACAAAAAGAACGAGAAGCAAACCTGTATCATGCCCAACTGTGATGCCTTCAAGTTCCTGTATCACAAAGCAAAAGGCAATTAGGAAATAACTCAAAAATTATCTATGGGACCCCTCACTTCTGTCAGTAGATATAAAATTTTACAGCCGTCTTTACATCGATACGAAGAGAAGTCAGAAGACCAACTGAACAAATGCATACGCTACAGAAGAAAATCCAAAAAGAAAGATCAGTTGTCCAACTTACACCACGATCTTCAGCAGCAGGATGGTCAACGTCTGGAAAGATTGGGTTTTCTCCATCATTCAATGAAGTATCCTTCAACTCTGTATCATGTTTAACTGAATTTGTAGAATCTATTAGAGGTTCTTCACCATTCACACAGTTAGTGTTCGCGTCCAACCTATCACAACCCAAGTCCCCAGACAGGAACCCATCTTCATTCACAACACCATTTGCAGTAAAATCTGTCAGACCATCACCCTCATTTTCTACAGACACACCAATTTTGCCTCCCTCCAAAGGAAGTTCATCCCTTGCTTTCAATTCACTATCAATTGCAACAGTATCTTCTCCTTCAGCAGCATCAACTACTTTCCCATTGTTTGTATCCATTAAAGTAGCACTGTCTTCAATAGATTGAAAATCCAATTTCTGCTCAGGTGTAATGCACGAAGCCTCCATCTGCAGAGAAGCATCCACACCATCGGTTTTATTGTCACTGGGCATGTTCTGAATTTCTACAGGACCGTCAATCTCAGATGATTTCTCAATCCCATGAACTGCAGAGCAATTAGCTGTCTCAGCAACTTCACCAGTAGCTCTGTCAATGTCCATTTCAGTTACCTCGGCCAAGGGTTCATTTGGCACTGTTTCAAGCTCAGGTGCATCAGTAATAGCATTTGTACCCCCTTGAGCATCAACATCATGAAATCCTAAAAGGTGGTCACTAATGGAAGTCACTGCAGGCTGTGCTTCAACATGAACCACAGGATCTTTGCTACCTTCCTCTCCACCTTCAACATTAGACCTAAAGGAGCACTCTGCATTCTTTGCTGGTTCAGAAGAACCATGATTTTCATCAGTTTCAGAAACCCTGATTTTGCTCAGATCATGTGTTTCACAGTGCAAACTCATTAATTCTGCTGACATACCTGAAACATATACAAAAGCCAACTGATTAATCTGAATGGATATGTTAAAACTCCTTAATTACCTGACACAAATTTGTTTCAATAAAAAACAAAATGAAAACAAAGATATGAACTTAGTAGAGGTATAAAAATTCTTTGGAAATTGATATTACAGTACAACAACTTATGTCACATGAATTGTCTGATGAAACTTGAATCCCGAATATCAGATCTCACATATTTCAAGAACTATGTCACAAATTCACAGGTAGAACGCATGACGAGGATAACAATCATATTGCAAACTGTAAGTATACACAACAGCAGAATGTTGAAACCAAAGAAACCCACTTTTGACAAAAAAAACCTTCTAGTGAGGTAACATCGATATTTTCGTCACAAAATTATCCAGTTTTGGTATGATTCATATCAGCAGATTCCATACACTAAGCTATCAGATATGTAGAAATCACCCCCACTAAGGAAAGAAAACAAGTAATAAAAGAGAGGGGAAGGGGGAGACTGAGAACCCAATATCATTCAAAAACACAAATAAGATTCTTCTATGTCAATTACATTAAGCGGAAGCAGGGGCAGGGGCAGCCAGACTAGTAAACTTTTAGCACTACAACTCACCAGTAAATACAGGTTCACTGAATATTTCATCCTCCAAGAATTGTATCTGAATCATCAAAATTTCAGGGCAAGTGCAAGGAGCTTTTTTTCGTATCCGTCGTATGTCTTCAGTATTTGTCAATTGTTGGCGTATTATACTTCACAGATCAATGCAGATAAACTCATCAGTAATTTATCAAAGAGGCAAGGTTAGCATAAGCGATAACTAAGAGAACAAGCAATAAAACTCACCATGCTTGTATTGACAAAACTTTAACATTTGGAATTGAAAACATTTGGAAATGTACTTAGGTTATGAGGTAAAGACAACCTAATCACTTCTTTTCTCAGCTCCTATAAAACCACCTAATTGATATTTTTTCTCTTTGTTGATATCTATTCTACTAATGTACTTATCTCTTCATTTTTTATTTTTCTTCAATGAAGTTTTAACAGTTTCTTATCAAAAAGAAAAAGCAATGTGTCAAGTCAAGCAAATTTGCAAGGGCATTGTTAAGCCAGTAAAAAAAATAAAATAAATTTTTGCTTCTCAATGAAGAATGCCAATTTAAGAAACTAAATTCCTAAGAAACTTAAAAAGAAGTATGAATAAAAGAACTTTGATAAAAAAAAAGAAAATATATATATATATATGAACTCAAGATAATGAGGAAACAAGAACATACTCGCCATGCAAGACCATGGTGTCATCCATAAGCACCTTTCTCTTTAAAGCACTAGTTTGAGGTGCAGAACGGGTTCGTTTTCTAGATGCCACTTCAGGGGCAGGTGGAGTGGGCTTCAATTTTAAAACTGAAGATCTTCTTCCAACTGAAACAACGATAAATTCATTTCAATCATAAATTTTTTTTTTGTAGAAGCATAATTTACACGACCATAAAATTCCACAACTCTAGAAGGAAATGGCATTCAATATATCGGCCCTTCTAACAACCACAACACACCAGAAATGTCATGCTCTATAATCAACATAGAACCAAATTGATACCTAAAATAGATGATAACAAATCATCATCATCAGGGATGGATTCTGAAGTTTTCTTAGATCTGGCCACCCCAAAGGATTCAGATGAGTTTAAACTCTCTACAGTTAGTGTACTTTCTGTGTAACTACGCTTTTTCCCTGACATAAGTTTGTTTCCAGCATCAACCCCATCTCTCCCTGCTAAAGCTTCTTTCTCTGGTGTAGAATCAACTAGCAAATCAGTTGGTTTATCAAGAAGCCCTTCTGGTACAGAAAGTAGCTTTTCTGGTTCAGGCAACTCTGAAATTGTGGAATTATTCAAATTTTCTAACTGGTGATTAGAAATCACATTGTCCAAAAGCTCATCTGACTTATTGTTATCTGCATGAATTTCTCCACATACAGAAGGCCCTGATATTTGATTTTTCTCTGATTGCATAATGTCTGTCACATGGCACTCTTCACCTATAACAATGTAAACATTTAATCTGGCCAAGTCAAACTTTATCAAACAAGAGAATCACATTAAATGACATGCATAAAGATCATTCTACAAACCTTGCACCTCAACACGAACCCCATCCCTTCTGGATGTCCCTGATGAGTGCGGCTCTACATCCTCAGATTGTAAGTTTGTAGCCATTGCATTATCATGTCCATATCCAGGAGAAGACACATCAGGTTGACTCAGGTGTGAGCTGCATGGCTTTAACACGTTTGTACCACTGGATGGCATCTCTTCATGATCACCAGGCTTGTTTGAAGTCATGGGATCATTAGACTCCTGCCCAGCATGGCCTTCAGCATCCACAATTGCCAGTGAGGCAGACCCTGGGACACTATCAGCAATTTCAGCATCACTTTGAATTTTGGTCCTGATTATATCTTGACCATCCATCAAATCGCCTTCTGACACAAGCTCATTGGTGCTATCAGGACAAGTTCTATGACTCGGTTCCTGTGCATCAGAGGTGGCATGAGAGCAACTAGGGGATGCAGCAGTTTCTTCTGACCTAACTCTTTGTTCTACAGATAACATATTTGGAACATTCCCGCTTACACCAGCATTTTGCATGTTTTTTATTCTGTCTGAATCATCTAGTGCACCAATGGTCCCCTCTGAACACTCTGATATCATAGGCATCGAATTGACAGAGTTACCAAGTGGCTTTGCTTGTTTGACCTCCAGATCTCTGACATGGTGGCCATTCTCCTGAGGAAGCANACAACCTCTGCTTTAAAAATAATCTATTAGGGACAGTTTTAGATTGATAGAGAGAGTTTAACCTTTTCCAGATTTCAACAGCTGTCTTCTCCTTCTTGACCTCCCGAAGGACTTTGTCACCCAATCCAAGGATCAAGGAGCTTTTGGCTTTGTCTAGCATTTCCTGCTTCTCGGAATCTTTCATGGTCTCTGGTAGTTCAGTCTCTTCCTTTAGGACTAAGGCTAGCCCTTCCTTGATCAGTACTGCTTCCATCTTCATTTTCCACAAACTAAAATCATTCTCACCTGTAAACTTTTCAAGTTCGAATTTAGTGGACATGATTAAAATTTTAGCCTAAGAAACTGGTCACAGAATACTCAAAACAAAAACAGAACACTTTACGAAGCCCTAAACCAGGCTCTGATACCAATCTGTTAGGATTTTGTTTTTTCTTTTGTCCTAAGTTATCACAGATTGCAGATCTTGGGCTAACAAATCAACTGTGTAACAAGATAAAAAAAAATCACAGATTCTGTTCTCTGGGTAACAACCAATCGTTCCAAACCACAAAGTAGTCACAGATTAAGATCTTTGAATCATCAAGCATTAACAAACAACAGATCAAGTAAAGAGATAAAGATCCACACAAGAAATTATAGTGGTTCAGCTGGGTAGCCTACATCCACTCTTCAAGGTACAAATAGGATGTCATTACTATCACAGTCAAGAGGACAATTTATAGAGTATTGAACAAACAAAGAAACGAAATGAGCAAAGAAGAATACAACCCGAAGAAACCCTAGCTGTCTTCCCTTTTCCCCTTGCTGCAAATCCATATCAAATGGAATCAATTTATACATCAGTCACCTTCCAGGATCAGCCTCCACTTGGAAACCCAAGAAGATCCAGCTGTAGATGAGTAACAGATTTCGTCTCCCTTTAGCACATTCTGGAACAAATGTTGTTAGAGATGGAAAAATGAGGGCTGAAACGAATGACTTGAAAAACCCTCTTTAGCTCCAACTGAAAACAACGTCGCTGTATCAATTTGACTCACCCACTTTTAATTGACTCCACCGTGGCAAAACACCAGCCACGTCACCACACTTTGATTATTATTCCTTATCAGAGCTATTTATCAAACATGCCAAAAGCAATCAAGAGAAACAGTCCTGAAATTGCGCTTAAATGTGTTACTTATGAAGCACTTAGCAGTTAGATAATTGACTTATGACATTATAGGTGATAGCTTAGCACAGACCACAACCACATAACAAGGTACCAACCACCTTTTCATACCATAAAAAATCAAGCTAATGAAAAATAGGTGAAAACACACGTATTGAAAAGAATAATCGATGGAAGAATTGAATGGTGATGCATTACATAAACAGCTTACACCAAATAATCATAAAATCNCCAGGATCAGCCTCCACTTGGTACCTCAAGAAGATCCAGCCGTAGACAAGCAACAAATTTCGTCTCCCATTAGAACATTCTGGAACAAGATAGTTAGAGAGGAGAAATTTGTGCAAAAGAAGAGGGCTGGATTGAATGAGTAGACAAAGTCATTTTAGCTCATCTTAAAACGATGTCACTTGGACCCCTTTGACTCTCCCAATTTTTAATTGACTCCACCGTGGCACAAACACAAGCCACATCATCACAGTATATAATGGCACAAAATGTGGACCGGTAACGAGTCTTAGATTAACTAGACCTTGTGAAATACTTCAAAGACTTATGCACTTTGTGTGTAATTATCAATCAAAAGTGACCTGCTAGACTTGATTTAGTTGAAGTCTTTGAAGCTATTTAATGTGGTGCAAGACAGCCACAGATGCTGCCATTGACGAAGACTAAGTGAGGTTTTTCCACATATGAGTCCAAAGACTTGTGCCCTGAAAAGTCTACTGGAGCACTCTTTTTTCTAGGGAGAGGACTGATGGTGAGATAGATAAGAGATAAATAGACTTCAGTTGAGTCCCAAATCCTTATGGTGACTTAACTTTCTTCTTTAGTTTCATCTTCTTGCTTGAAGAACTATTTTCTCTGACTATGGCTTATTCCTCAGTCGCTTCTTCCCTCAACTCTTTCCTACTTCTTTCTGCACTCTTATATGCAACCATAGTGTCTTGCAGTGGAAGTGAAATCTCTTATTCTGATCACTGTGCTTCAGTTGTCCCTGAGTTAACTCCAAATGATCCTGAATTCACCACCTTGCCGTTTCCAACCGGCCAATATGGTTACTACGAAGGTGGGGATAAAATCTTGAATCCAAACCCATCTCAATACTCATCAAGTGAGCGGAAAACGATGTCGTTTCAGACTGAGGATGTCTATAGCACTGGTCATCCCGGTGTCTTCAAGGTTGATGGGAGCTTGATCTTCAATAGCTGGAACCTGAATCTTAGGGCTCCGGGTATGATATATTCTCAATCAGTCTTCAGGACTATGAGCTCTGGACAGGGTGCTTTGAGTTTCAGTTTAAAAGGATTCTGGTCAAATTCTTCCGGGAAGCTGTGCATGGTGGGATCAAGTTCTAGTTTCTCTCCAGAAGGTAATATTCTTCATCGTACTGCTGTCCTTAAGCTTAATGGTGTAAGGAATTCAAGTGATATTACCAGTCTGGTTAGTGGAACTCTTCAGAGCTTGAGTTCTGCTGATGATTCCAGTTATTTCGAACCAATTTCCTTGTTGATATTTCCTGAAGTAAACTACAAGTACACTAAGGCTTCAAAAGACTTGATCGAAAATGAGTTTTCTGGTGAGAAGAATGTTGCAGAAGCGAACTCATCACTCCGTTTACAGGTGAGTACAACTGTTTGTTCAATCTTTGAGAGGGCATACACCACTTTTGAGTTGGAGTATGAAAGTGATTGCAATTCTACAAAGACTTGCAATCCTTTTGGTGACGGTGTTGGATATTTGCCACGAGTGATGTCTTTGAATAAGCTACAGTGTTCAGCGGATGGACGAAATTTAAGGTTTTTGGTGGAATTTTCCAACAGTAGCTATTCTGGGTATTACTATTACAGCCCTTTCGATCCAAACACAACGTTCGTTGGGGAAGGAACGTGGGATTGGAAGAAGAATCGGCTATGTGTTGTTGCTTGCAGAATCTTGAACACCAATGGTGCCTTGGAGGACTCTCATGTTGAGGATTGTTCCATAAGGTTGACCTTGAGATTTCCTACAATCTGGTCAATCAGAAACAGAACTGCCATGTTAGGCCAAATTTGGAGTCAGAAAACTGAGAATGGTGTGGGTTACTTTGACAGAATTTTGTTCCGAAGTACCGAAGATGGTTGGCTACGGCTTCCAGGACTGAAGTATATGTACACAGCAATTGAGAAAGTGAAAAATATTTCATGCTTGACGAAGAAGTTACCCATTAGAAATGGTGGGGAAAAATACCCGGATGGGTACTCTTATGAAATGAGCTTTGATATGTCAGTCAGAAACTCTAGACAGGAAATTGGGTGGGGTTCTTCATTTCAGATCTCTATTGGCGATCAAATTTCCCAGTCGTCAGAATATTCCTCCAAGCCATTCTCAAGCTCGAGACCCGTGAGTTCTGGCGTTGAAGGGAATACCAGCATTACTAGACCACTCAACATCAGCTACAAAATAAGCCTCTCACCATATTACTATGCGCGATTGGATCGTGTCAAAACCCTATTCAATACATCCTTGAGTGAGAAATACGGGCGAGTAGAAATATTTGTTGAAGGGCTTTATGATCCTGAGACTGGATGCCTTCGCATGGTTGGCTGCAGATATCTTGCATTGAGCAATCAGAAACTGACAAACGATTCAATGGACTGCGAGGTTCTTGTCCATCTTCAGTTTCCTCCACTAAATGCGAAGAAAGATGGAGTCTATATCAGGGGAACCATCACAAGCGCTCGCAACAAATCTGATCCTCTTTACTTTAAGCCTCTCTATGTCACTTCAACTGCTTCTTACACCTTCCTGGAAAGACAATCAATATGGCGGATGGATTTGGAGATCCTCATGGCTCTGGTCTCCAATACACTTGCCTGCGTTTTTGTGGTGTTCCAACTTTTGTATGTGAAAAGGAACCCCGGAGTTCTGCCTTTCATTTCACTTCTCATGCTCACAATTCTCACTTTGGGTCACATGATAGTTCTTGTGTTGAACTTTGAAGCCTTGTTCTTACGAACCCGCAATCGCCAAAGTGTCTTCCTTGGAAGTGGAGGATGGCTAGAAGTGCACGAAGTGATTGTAAGAATAATCACGATGGTGGCTTTTCTGTTACAATTTCGTCTTCTCCAGCTTTCATTGTCCAAACGAATGGGTGACAACAACCATAAGGCCTTGTGGGCTGCTGAGAAGAAGGCATTATTTGTGTCTTTGCCATTATATCTAGCTGGGGGTTTAATAACTTTTTATGCAAGCTGGAGGAACAACAATGTTGGGTTTGCAACGCGATATTATTATTCTTCTCGATTTGATGACAACCAGCATTCTCTTTGGAGGGACTTGAGATCCTATGCTGGTTTCATCCTGGATGGTTTCCTTTTCCCACAAATCCTCCTCAACATGTTCTACAACTCAAGAGAAAATGTACTTTCTCGTTTGTTTTACATCGGATTCACTTTCGTTCGGTTGGTGCCACATGCATATGACCTTTACAGGGCTCAGAACTATGTTCAGAATTTTGACGGTTCATACATATATGCAGACCATGCTGCAGATTTTTACTCCACTGCTTGGGATGTCACTATCCCGCTAGTGGGTATCCTTTTTGCAGCAATCATATACCTCCAGCGGAGATTTGGCGGGCGATGCTTCTTTCCTCGGAGGTTCAGGGAGCTGGAAGTAATTTATGAGAAGGTACCAGAAGCTAGTGAAGAATAAGTGTTGTTGGTAGACTATGGTAAACTTTGTGTTGTATGTTTTTTCTTCTGTTTGTTTCCTTGTTGGTGAAGTGGTACTGGAAAAACTCGTGTAAACGATTACTATGTGCTTAATGGAAAATAAGAAGTATCTGTTAGTTTCAGAGCTCCTATCTTTCTGTAAACAAATACTCTGAACCTTCTCTATAATTAGCACCAATGTTTGTTCTAATCACATGTTCGAAACTTTAAACTTTTTAGAGTTCTGTTGTCCTTTTTGCTCGAGTTTTGCCTGTTAGGTATATGATAATAATGATGAGAAATCGTATAGAGTTTAATACAATAGAATCTTTCTATAATGATATACTACGTAGAAATAACTTCCATGTAGTCATAAAAAAATTTATTTCCAAACTG